CCAGCCCCTTTCCCACCTGTTTCTCTCTGCAGTTGCAGTACCATATACTGTAACTGGGAGCCAAAATAAACCTTTCCTTCTTTAGATTTCAGGGGCTGGGTATTTTGTCTCAGTGACAAGGAAAATGACTAAGACAAAACTAAAAGCATACATCTTTATGTGTGCTGGCCCCACAACGAAAAGAAATGGAAAACGGGGGTAATTTTAGGTGGTCATATTTTAACTAGATTTTTTCCTTACTTGGGTAGGGCCTATGTCTTCTTGCCTGCTATTAGACATAATTTGTCTAATAGATTGTGAAGCAGTGCGTCTCTTTTTTGCTCTTTCAGTTAACCTATTATTTAAAAATAAATGACAAGTTATTAGACTCTAGTAGTAACTTTGTTTTAGTTTTAAGAAAGGATAACTTATACCATGAATATCTACTATTAGAATACTGAGGACCAAAGGGCAATTGCTAACACAGTATTTAAGTGCCAAAAGCTCTAATGAGAGAGGTGGTAGTAGGATAGAAAACAACAAATGATGGCTAAGGTCAGTCACGGAGAGATCTTTGTTGGCCTACTATCCATTCTCTACCTGTTCTGAACTTAGTTCTCTTAACCTTTGGGTTTCTCAGTTTATAAGCTTGCTCTCCAAGACTGGTTATAACCATGGTTATTAATAGATCACCTCAGGAACAACTAGGCCAGTGTGGCGAACCACACAGTAGACATGCAGAGACCTCTCTGTTGGCACACGAGCCAAGTCACCCTAGGGTCACCCCAGCCGAGCATCAGAGAACAGAGCAGAAAGGGACATGTTGGCACACTGTGATAATTGTGCTTGGGGTCACAGTTTGGTCACTCAGTCTCTAAAAGTTTCGCCATCACTGAACTAGGCTATTGCAGTCTATAGTCAACTGTCCCTTTGACATGACAGGCATGTCTGCTTGCCCACCCCTGCAGACCATAATTCTCATAACTTGTAGCCCAGGGCAGCCTACTAGCATCTGCTTGGGTTAATAAATCTGGTCCTCTTTCTTACCGAAATCACTCTAGTCTTTCTAAATTTATAACTGGTCCCAAGGCCTTGCGAGGCAGACCACTCGTCATAGTGCTCACAATTAATCAAACTTCCAATCTGTATCAGAGGCTAATACCTGTAACTGGTTTAAAAGCTGTTTTCCTCTCCAAATTTTATCCTCAAAAAGTGATTTTAGGGGGCTGGGGAGATGGCTCAGTGGAATAAAGTGCTTCCCTGGCAAGCGCAAGGGCCTGAGTTCAATCCCCGGTTCCGCCAAAAAAAAAAAAAGTGATTTTACTATGAAAAATTATCTGTGGCTTTCTTTTCTCCATTTGGAGAATTTGCTGTGACACAGAAATTAAGTTTAAGCGTTGGGGATACAGCTTAGCAGCACAGCACCTGCCTGGCAAGCGTAAGGTCATGAGTTCAATTCTTAGTACACATACACAAAAAGAAAGCTTAACTCATAGCATCAAGTGCCATGGTTTAAATATATTTTGGCCCCCAAAGGTCCATATGCTAGAAGTTGGTGGTAGTGTCAGGCAGTGGAGCCTTTGTGAGGTCAGTCCAAGTGAGAAGCAAACAGATTGTTGGGAGAGCTTAATGCTTTCCCAGGAGGGGATTCTCATTCTTGAGAGAAGTTCCATAAGAGAGGGATTTTTTTACCTTTTGAGACAAGGTAAAAACTGTTTCACTGCAGTTCGGGCTGGCCTGAACTCACTTTGTAGCCAAAGCTGGCCTTGAATTTACAGCGATCCTCTCAAGTGCCAGGAAAACAGGCATGCACCACACTACGTCCAGCAAGAGAGGATTTTCGTAAGGGAGCCTGGCATCTCCCCGGGTCTCCCTGCTCCCCTGCTCCCCTGCTCACACTCGTGCCTCTTCTGAGAGTGACTGGCTCCCTGCCCACAGCTCTGTTGTGATACCCCAGGGGGCCCTAGCCAGGATGGTGGCACCATGCTTTTGTAACTGCCAATCCCCAGAATCAGGCCAGGGACAGAGCTCAGTAGAATAAGCGCTTGCCCGTCAAGTGCAAGGGTCTGAGTTCAATCCCCAGTTCCACACAAAAATATAAAATAAAATAAAAATAA